GACTTGTGCTCTAACCGATGCCGTCAATTCCATATTGAAGAAAACGGGCAGAATTAAAAAACCGCGTAAATATTACTGATGCCTTCTCAACAGCAGTAGATTCTAAGATCACCAACTCACAATTTTCAACTGCTTAAAGTTGTATTGGTCTTCTCGTTTTTTTATAGCTTCAACAGCAGAAATTATCATATTCCCTTTTAAAACGAGGATTTGATCTTAAGAGTTTTGTTATTTATGTGTAGAAATATAATCAAACATATATATATATATATATATATATATATATATATATATATATATATATATATATATATATATATATGTATGTATGTATGTATGTTGTGATTTAGGTTAAAAACAACTTTCTAACTTAGGCCTCGTTTGATAGAATTAAGTACTGAACGCTGAATGCTGGATAAATATCTGAATGGCCAAGAGCTGTGTATGAATGCTGAATGCTGAACAATTAAGTTCATTTGAAAACTGAATGTCAATAATGTCTGAATACTATTATTTTCATGTTATACCCTTATGTTGCATAAGTTGAAACATTAGTTGTTAATTAAATTTAATTAGCGTATATGAATAAACACAACTTTTTAATATGACCTACTTAATTAATAAAATATAAAATTTTGATAGTCATTAAACATATGGATATAAAGTAATATATATTAAATATTTAGCATAAATAAAATATAAATTTTAAATTCAAACAACTAATAAAAATAAAGTTGCTAAAGCATAGAAATACATTAAAAATGAAATTAACCTAAACATTTAATTTGCTAAAATGAACATAATATTTTTTAATAAATCCTTGAAAAAATTGTTGAACATACAAGTTCATTTACAAACAAAATAATGCTCGAATAAAATTAGACTTGTAACTACAACCCTTATAATTATTGCATCATACTATTTTAGTGGAAGTACATAAGCATAAATTCAATTTTGATATTAAAGTTTTTAATTAAAAATATCAAATATATAAAGTGTCATAGTACATTAGGAACTGAACCAACACATACAATTTAATATAATATATTTATTATTTAAAATGGAAAAATAAAAGATGTGTAATAGTGGTGCAGTGGCCGCGGGTGCAATATAAAATCTCCATAGGGATATATTCGTCCAAAATCCATTCAGTTTTGCCTCTGGATGAATAAGTCACAATTTTTTTTATGAATCAATAAGCGCTAAACCACCCCATTCAGCTATCAACACCAAACACGCTTAATAATCTAGGCACTGACCGAATAAGTAATTTTTGCCAATCAGCGCTCATTCAGTGCTATCAAACACGCCCTTAGATCACACCACATGCAATCAAAATATAAACAAAACAAAATAAGAACACACACACATGTAAAGTGGTTCGGATCTGTGTAATCCGATGTGCACGGTAACAACAATAGTGATGTTTTATTATCAATATCAAACGGTTTTACAAGCACACATGCACACTCACATTACGCATCGAACTTCTGGAGAAACCCTAATTCTCTCTAAGGGAATAAGCTTTTTTTATGATTTGCCATGAATCTGCTGATTGAATAAGCTAAGTCTGGTTTATACATATCATGAAGTACATGATGCTTCCAATGGAATTTGCATGTGGAATCTCACTCTTGTAAGACTTCTCGTCTTTAGTTTCGTGAGATTGTGTGGCGCCGAGTTAATTTGAATTAGCTCTAATTGGAGTGGCAACTGACTTTGGTTCTGGCATTTCAAACTTTGATAATATACACTTTCTCGGACATAAATAGTATTCCTCCTCTTCTTCTCCTTGAGATATATATTCCCATAATTCTCGAGGCTCGCCCCATATCTTTCATTTCAAACTTCCCATTTAAGCTTTGCCTTTAACTGATCAATCTTCTCTTTATCCTTCCCATCAATTAGGTTATCATTCACATACAATGACAGTAACGTAACATTTGTTTGCTAACTTAAGTTTCTCCATTGTACTCATAAATGAATCAAACTTCCATTGCCTTGGTGACTGCTTTAGACCATACAATAGTCTCTTTAACAAGCATACTTCTTGAATCATCTTTTTCAAAGCCTTGAGACTGTCTCATGAAGATGGTCTCTTCAAGCTCACCATGTAAGAATGTCGGGGTTACATCCATTTGATGCAACTCCAAGTCAAACATAGCCGCATTTAATAGCATCATTCTTATGGAAGTTTTCTTCACTACAAGAGATAATATTTCATTATAGTCTATGCATTCCTTTTGTTTAAAGCCTTTAGCAACTAATCTTGCTTTGTATCTGAGCAAAGTGATTCCTACCTTTCTCTTGAAAATCCACTTGCAACCTACAAGCTTTTGATGATGAGGTTTATCAACAAGATCCCAAGTCTTGTTTTTGTTAAGTGACCTCATCTCATCCTTCATTGCCTCAGTCCACTTTTCTTAATTATAGCTGCTTATAGCTTCTTTGAAACTCTCAGGTTCTTGCTCATCGTGTTCTTGAGCTATGTAAGTGCATGTGCAATTACATCAGCAGAACCATATATTTGTGTTGGTTTGCTTGTTCTCTTATGTTTGTCCCTTACTAATTGGCAAGAGCTCCGATCATCTTGATCACCAGATTGTTCTTTTTCATCGGCTATCTCTTCCTCCTCTTTAATTCCTTGAAGTGGTGACTGAACTCACCTAAGACTCAAGACTTTCAGTAGGAATTGAGTCTTTGCCACCTTGATTCTTTAACAGTGCCATTTCATGTTCATTGAATACTACATCTCTACTTATTATGCATTTCTCAGAGCCCTCTTCAATACACCATAACTTGTATCCCTTTACCTTATGGATATCCATGGAATAAGCATTTCTTGGCTCTTGGTTGAAGTTTATCTTGCTTTACATGTGCATAACCAGTGCATCCAAACACTCTAAGATTCTCTAGAGTTGGCCTTCTTCCAGTCCACATTTCTTGAGGACATTTGAATCCAATAGCTGTTCATGGACTTCTATTGATTAGATAATCTGTTGACTTCCATTCGAGCGCTTGATTAATCATGGATGTCCTGTGAATTAGGATGGATTTGTAATCCATTGAGTCCCGGCCATAGCTGATAGTGGGGAATAAGGGAAATGAGTTTCTCTAAGTGAGACACGAATGGATTATATTACCTAGAACGTTCGCGCAGTTATTGAGCAATAATGGAGGTCTCGGTGGATCAATGCTTCTAGTTCAATCGGGACATATGTGTCGAAAGGATCGTATGGTACGTTAATTAACTATATCACACGGTTCTTGTAGACACTTCATTTGTATTTAAGGAATCATGATGCGTAGTTGCTAGACGTCAATCTTGATTCGTTAGGCATTCACCAATTCGATCGACGATTAAGTTGAAATAAGTTTTGTCTTAATTGAGATTATGTGGAAGAGTCCGTTTAAGAACAATGTGTCGTTTGAATCACAAAGAGTTGTGAGCCCATGACTAGCTTACACCTGAACCATCGAGGGTCACACTTCTCCTCCACTTCATCATCTTGATTGAAAATACTTTATTCTCCTCCACTTCATCCATCTTCAAAACCACACCCACTTCCAAAGATAGCGTTTCTTCTAGTCTCCACCTCTCTTTGCAGCCAGTCTCGTGCTGCCAGCCAACCGCCTAATTTCCACCAACTACGTCACTAGAAAATTTTATTATCATCGTCTCAGTCCTTCTTTTGAGTAAAATATGTCTATTTTCAGTCTAAACTCTCTAGTTAAGTTATCTATTTCTAGTCTCGACAGTCTATTTTCAATCTATATAAGCTCTCTAAATAAATATTATCTTTTTCAGTATAAAAGCTGTGTATTTTCATTCTTAGTTGTCCAACTAAGATGTCCGATGGAATTTAAGCAAATTCAAAATATTCAAATCAACCTTTAGCTACACATGAAAATATTTCCGAGGGAGTTTTAGCCAGTTTTCCCTAACTTATAAGTTCACATTGAGACCATAGTAAGTGGGCCGCAGTCCGCAAACATTGCAGTGTTTTGTGCAGGGACTTATAGTAAATAAAAAAGAAATGATGTCCTTAGGAGCAAGAAAATTTCACTCTTTTGAAGTGGAGATTAGTGCATGCATGTAGAATGCATCAGCCATCAAATCTCAATAAATAAGTTTAAAAGATTAATTTGTTCACGCGTCTCAAAGGAAACTGGAAAGCTACTTCATATATATATTGTATGTCATCTGTATCTATTGCTACATTAACTAACTCGCATCAATTCTCAAAACTCTTGGAAAATGAAAATATATAGGCCAAATTACGACCTACCCCTCAGGTAAAATTAAATTATGAAAAGACCATTCATGTTTGCATAATTACAAGCACCTCTCAATTATGTATTATCTTACGAAAAAAATCCATCATGTTGATAAAATTAGGGGCGTTTATTCGGTAAAATTGTACATAATTTTTTGTGCGCCAAAATATCATACCGTTTAGCGTTTGGTTCAATAAATAACTGAATTACCAAAATTTTATTAAAAATATTAAAATTTTTGATTTTATGTTTATTTTTTTAATTAATTTTAGTTTAAATACTAATATTACATATATAAATATATATAAAAAATTAAATAAAACTGAATATCACACCGAGTTAATGGTTCGGTAATCGGCATGTACGAATTTTCATTCGGTTCGATTTGATCGGTTTACCGACCGGATGAACACCCCCAGGTAAATTTTGACATTCTGTGGGTGGATGTGTAAGACAATACATAATTAAGAGGACTGGTTGTAACTATGCAAACAAGAGGGGTTTTTTCGTAATCATACCTTACCTCAGGGTGGCCGTAATTTGCCCAAAAAATATATTAAAATGTACTCCAACGGTTTGACAAATATGATTGAATTTCATCAGTCACCATAACTTTTAGGCTCTTGGACTTAATTTTTGGCCTTATAAAAAGAAAGGGTGGCATCAGCTTTTTTCTTGATAATTTCTTTTTTTAATTTTCATTACAACCTAAACAAAACAAAATGTCTGATGCAAAAAATGCTAAGTTCTCTCTAAATTTTATGACAAACAAGCAGAGAACAAAAGTTCTATTCGCAGAAGCCGACAGCAGCTTCACAGATGTGTTGATCAGCTTTCTGACATTGCCGTTGGGAACAATTATTAGAATCCTGAAGCAGCACTATGGAGAAGAAGCATCAGCACCCGTCTTCGGATGCTTAAACACTTTGTACAACGGCTTATCGAATCTCGACGTTAATTATTTCTGGACCGAGGGTTGTAAAGAGATGCTTTTAAATCCGATAAGTTCGTTCGAAGCTGAATATCGTAAGCTGAAACTCGATATTAATGAAACTATGCCCGCTGAGTATTTTATTTGCGAAAGCCCGAAATGCGGTCGAAAGTACCCGAAAATCTTACACATGAAAAGCGTGTACTATGATACCGCCACATGCGTTTGTGGAGCGATAATGACAAGAAATGTAGTTACTAATAAGGAGTGTCAAGCTGATGTTAATTGTGGTGGAGTTTTTACGGTAAGTACGGAATCTTTCGTAATCTCCGATGATCTTCGGGTATTTCCTAATACAAGAGGATTCACTCAAACCCTAAGAAATCTTGGCATTACTAACATGGATTTAGGGGAGCTGAGACATGTAACTTTTGGATTTAGTGAGGTGAGTTCTTTTATTTATTTATTAATTATGGGCATCACCCCCTAAATTTTCTATTTTTTGCACTTTACCCCTCAAAATTTTAAAAACTGAATGTCCCCCTTTAAAATATTATTTTTGTTGCGCATTGCCCCGATAGCAAAATTTCAATAAATTATTCATCGGCATTTGAGTATTTTGTTGCACATTGCTCATTTAAAATGTTATCAATGCCCACCAAAAATTGGCTTCTGGGGCAAAGTGCAACCAAAATAATATTTTGAAGGGGGATTATCCAGTTTTTGAGTTTTTAGTGAGGAAAGTGCGAAAATGGAAAATTTGAAGAGGGTGAAGTGCATTTTGTCCTTTATTTATTAATGAACAAACTTTTTTCCATATTTATTTAATTATTTTACGGTTCAGTAGATCATGGATTTACTCAAGGGATCATTACTCTCCCGAACTCCGTTGACCGATATCATACTCGGTAAACGGAAGATGGAGTACTACGACGTCAAAATAAAATCCGAACCAGGAATTTTATGTCACGAGATTGACAAAGAAGAAAATTCTTACTCCAAGAAGATGATTTTGAAAGTGATGGTGCAAAAATCCACCAATAAGTTCTTGTTTGCTCAATCAAACGAAGATTTCGTCGACTTTCTTTGTTCGTTACCGGCCATTCCTCTTGGAGGAGTTGAGTACCTTTTGGGTAGTAACAGTTGTTTTACATGCGTAAGCAATTTGTACAGAAGCGTAGCGGATAATATCGACTACAAGTATCTCGAGACTTTGAAGATCAGGCTAACGAAACCTCGGCTAGTTCATGGTTATATGTCTGAAAACCAGATTCTTCCTCTACGTGAAGAAAGTTTTACTCCTACCTATTGTGCCGAGTTTTCTTCTGTCAAGTTCTTACAAGGCCAAGGAAAATATGTGCAGGGATCAACAATGTATAACATAACTGATGATTTAACTGTCACACCTTATTGTATTGAAACGGAAATCCCTTCATCCGATATCAAGGAGCTGGAGTTTGAGATTGGGTTTGAAGAGGTAATATATATAGTTTTGATTTTATTATGTTTATATTTCTTAGGGTAAATAGCATTAAACCGTCTGAACTTTGCCCCCTTTTGCGGATTACCATCTCAAAAAAAAAAAAAAAAAAAAAAAAACTCCGACCCAAATACCAATTGGAGAAGGAAGAGAGAAATTGAGGGAAATTAAGGAGGAATTTGACGAATTAGGGCTTGAGATTTTGAAAAGGCATAAAAGCCCTTCCAAATCGTTGCCATGCCTATAACTCCGGTCATCTTAGCCTGAAAATGAGTAAAAAAAGGTAGCGAGGCACAACTTATTGACAGGTTGAATCGGACGATTTTTAAATTTTTTTTTATTGAGGTGGTAATCCGCAAAAACGATCAGTTTAGGAGGTTTAATGATATTTACTATAAATGTTGATCAGATGTATTAAAAATTAAACTATTTATTTTTTGGTGTAGGGTTTAAGCATACTGAAGGCATCTGTTACAACCACTTCTGCTCTAACCAATAGCTTGAAGATTAATCCCATAATAAAGAAGGAGCCAAAGCAAGAACCCTAAAAGTTGGTAGCAGTCGCTAGTGCTTTACGTTAGTTTAAATGCTAGATGCTAAGATTCGGTTTTAACGATCTCATCATATTCTCAGGGCAAACAGCACAGACCCCTATGTTAAGGAAAATTTGTGTCAAATTCCTCTATTTTTTTCTTGCATAATACTCCCTTCATATTAATATGCACGAAATTCCATTTTGCCTTAAAAGTTAACACCGTTAAATACAGATGAAATTTTATGAATTTTTTTTCATAACAGAGGGAGATTTAGAGCATATGTTCTACAATACAAGAGAATTTTATGCAAAAATAAACAACACTTATTTTGAAATGGAGAAAGTACATTTTATAATAAATATATGGAAATTATAAATTTCCAATAATTGAACTCATGGATAGACTTGAAAAAAATGCGAAGGAATTAATTTTGTAACTTTAAATTAGCTGTCGTTTAAAAAATAATTTTAAGAAAGAAAAAAGAAGATGTACAGACATTAATGTATATGACGGTGCATCGAATATGAAGAAACATATTGGGAAAATCAGATGATGCATGCTGGCGCCTTTTCCCGGTTTCAAGGAAAAAAAAAACTGGAGAGACTCCAACGTACACCTGCGTCAGTTATTATGGCTACCCTACCCTTATTCATCATCCATCACCACTTTCTAGGATGGAAAAAAGAAAAGAAAAAAACAGATGATCAGTTGATTAAACTTGTGATTTATTAAAGGGAAAATTGCACTTTGCCCGCTCAAAAAATGTCTTTTATGCACTTTTCCCTCTCAAAATACAAAAAATAGACTGTCCCTTTTTTAAATCAAGAATTGGTGCACTTTGCCCCAAATGTATATTTCTGGTCGAATTTTTGCCGGATTTGAGTAATGGGGAAGGGTAATTTTGTTCTTTAAGGCTATAAATGTTATTTGCCCTTTTTCCACCCATATTACCGTTAGGGTTCTCGTTTCTCCCCCAAATCGATCGCCCAAAAAAACATAGGGTTCTTCTCTTCTTCCAAAATCAATTGAATCTGCGGCCAATAACCAAGTGTTCACGTTCAAAGGATTTCACAAAGGTAACAAATTTGTTCATTCTTAAGATATTGGGGAACTGGAGTCGCAAAGAATTGGGGGTAGTTCTTCTCCTTCGATATTTTTTCCTTGTTATTTGTCCTATAGGTTATTAAGATTGCACAATTCCATTCACAATAAAATTGATTGCATGATCCTTAACAAAAGTTGGATACTTACCCTTGTCCAGTCTCTGCGTTCCTTGCCGTAATTCTCCACTCATCGTCAAAACTATTTTTTCAAATACTGATTATGTAGAAAAAAAAGAACAAATTTTGTCGAATTTGGAAGAGAATGTCATCGAATATTGGAAAAAATAGAACAAATTCTTTCGACTCTAACCGGGCGTTCGTACACGCCTTAGGCGCCCATCTTGGGCGTTCGAACATTTTTTTGCGAAAAAAAAAGCCCTACAAATCGATTTGTAGGGCTTTTTAACATGAAATTGGTTCTGTAATCGACCTTCCAAATGCATATTACACATAAAAGAGTCAAAATTAAATCAAAAAGTCGAAGCCCAACCCTTCTTCAAGCTTGATTTCGAATTTTCGAATTTTTTTTTTGCTATTTGCAGTTTTGGGGTTTTTTTTGATATTTTTAAAAGTTTTGGGGAGTTTTGTTATAAACCGCGAATAGCAATTTTGTGACCGCAAATAGCATTTCATAATATAAATGGTCATGCAAATATGATTAAAATGCTAATTTGTTTTCCGTCTATTAAAAATGATAAAGATATCAAAATTTGGATGAAAATAATAAAATGACCCAGATACCATTGAAGTGGACAAATAAATGACAATTCTAAACAAAAATATGTCTAGAATTGTGATTCAAGGTAAAGTGCAATTGGAACAAAATTTTAAAGGGGTAGAGTCCCTCTTTTTTATTTATAGGGAGAAAAGTGCAAAATTTGTTAAAAATTAGGGGGCCAAGTATATTTTGTCCTAATTCAAATAAGATAGGGAAAAAAGCTTGGACTCGTAACTCGGAAGACGAGTCATGGATGAAAGAGAAAATAAAGGTTAACTGCGACTCCTATTCACAATATATACAAAAGTTCCAAAAAAGTAGAGATTAATGTACATGTATGCATACTCCATCAAATTTCAAGAAAATAATTAATGTACATGTATGATGTATGTATGTATGACGTGTTCAAGAAGAAACTGGAAAGCCCACCGACTAATTACATCCCCGAAATGTCGGTACGTCATCTTTATTAAAGTAAGGGCGAATTGCACATCAACTCCTGTAAATTTCTAATATTCTCACTTTGCCCCCTCATTTTGTTGCACGTTGCCCCTTAAAAACACTATTTTTTGCACGTTACCCCTTTAAAATGTATTTTTTATCGCACAATGCCTTCCAAAAATTGGTTTATGGGGCAAAGTGCAAACATAATAGTATTTCGAAGGGGGAGTATCCCTTTTTGAATTGTTAGTGTACGACGGCTTATCGAATCTGGACAGCGAACATTTCTGGACGGAGGGTTGTAAGGAAATTCTACTCAATCCAAAAAGTTCGTTCGGAGCCGAATGTCGTAAACTAAAACTCGACATAAGCGACACGCAGCCCACCGAGTACTTCATTTGCGGTAACTTGTTAAAGTATGACTGCGAAGGGCATAATTTGTTATTGAGATGTTCGAGCGTGTACTATGATACTGCTACTTGCTTTTGTCAAAGAATAATGAAAAGAAAAGTTGATGAAAATGATGAGTACAGCTCTCGAGCTGCTACCGATGGTGGAGTTTTTACCTTGAAGACGACGTCTTTCATAATCTCTGATGATCTTCAGATATTTCCTAATACGAAAGGATTATTTCAAACTCTCGGAGATTTTGCGATTAGCGACGTTGATCTTGTTGAACCGATTAATGTGACCTTAGGATTCAGTGACGTGAGTCCTTGTTATATATATTCCCTATTTATTATATTGCAAATTGCACACATCACCCCCTAAAAAAATCTAATTTTTGCATTTTACCCCCTCAAAATTTTAAAAAGTGAATGTCTCTCTTCAAAATGTTATTCGTGTTGCATATTGCTTCGATAGCAAAATTATGATGGATTATTCATAGGCATTTGAGATTTTTGTTACACCTTGCCTCTTTATATGTTATTTTTGTTGCATGTTACCCCTTAAAAACATTATTTTTTGCACATTGCCCCTTTAAAATGCTATTTTTGTTGCACATCCCACAAATAATTATCTTTTGGGGTAAAGTCCAACCAACATAATATTCTGAAGGGGTATCATCAAGTTTTTGAATTATTAGGGAGAGTGTGAAAATGGGAAATTTGTAGGGTGTGAATTGCTGCATTTTGTCCTTTTTTATATTGCTTCAATTTTGTATTTTTTCATTTTTTTCTTTGTGTTACTAGATTATGGATTTGCTCAAGGGATCGTTGTTTTCCCGTACTCCACTATCCGACATCATACTAAAGAAAAGATCACATGTTGAATTTGTTAGCACATCGTCAGAATCCGAACCAGAAATCTTGTCTCGGAATTTGGAAAAAGAAGAAACTTATAATTCTAAGAAGATGGTTTTGAAAGTCGTTTTACAAAAATCGACTAATAAGATACTATTTGCTCAATCGGATGAGGGTTTTGTCGATTTTCTCTGTAGTTTACTCGCAATCCCTATTGGAGGATGATATGCCTAATTGGGCCAACCCAATGGGCCTACAATTTCCTTACCTACTGGGCTACGAGCCCAATATCGAAGACTAATATCACCGAGGCCCAAACACCTTCAAGTAAGGTTTGGGCCCAACAAAGCAAACCCAACCCAATAAACGACATATAAATAGAGGTTTTACTCATTTTATTAAGGTACGTCCTATGAACTGAGCGATACTACAATACGTATTCTCTGGACTATTTCTATGATCAGCACGTCTGACTTGAGCGTCGGAGGGGTTTCCGCCGGATCAACCCCCGGCTTAGTTCATGTGTTCTATGATCGCAGGTACCTCAGGATCATCAAGTTGTCAAGCTACTGATCTGCTTTGCTCTCCCAGTTCATTTTCTACACTACCCCAGGTGATCTACATTTTAGCATCATCATTTTGGCGCCGTCTGTGGGAACGATGCAAACCAGATCACGTAGCCAACAAGATCCTCCTGAGGCGTCTGCTCGGAGAGAAAATGACACAGCTAACGACCTCCCACATCGTGGAGGCTCTGGCTTGCCACCTCCTCCACGTCCCATGGATCCGCCTCGCGAGGTTCAGGTGATCCCCCCTCGGGACCAACCACTCGCCGATCCACCACTCACTGCTCCTCGAATGGTTCAAATAACCGAGGATGCGCTTCAACGCATGACAGCAGAAGCTTCAACTCGCGCTGCCATAGAGGCCGTGACCCAATATATCGCCACGATGGGAGCAAATTCTCCCAACGCGATACCAGCACCTGCTCCACATGTGGAGCCACCTATGGCACCACCGCCATCAACTCCCTGAGGGCTTACATCTGCCCCCAAAATATTTCGCTCGCCAAGGGTTATCGACTCCCTGGGGGTATACAGTGCCCCCAAAACATTTCGTTCGCCAAGGGTTATCGACTCCCTGGGGGCTTACATCTCCCCCCAAAATATTTCGTTCGCCAAGGGTTATCGACTCCCTGGGGGTTTATATTACCCCCAAAATATTTTGTTCGCCAAGGGTTATCGACTCCCTGGGGGTTTACAGTGCCCCCAAAACATTTCGTTCACCATGGGTCATCGACTCTCTGGGAGCCTACTTTCGCCCCCCCCCCCCCGAACGGTTCAGATAACCGAAGAGGACTTTCAGCGTATGATCGCCGAACTTTCCACAAGATCAACTTCTACTTGCTCCTCTAACGGTTCAGATAACCGATAAGGACCTTCAGCATACGACCGCGAAAGCTTCAACTCGTGTTGTCACTGAAGCAACGACACAACCGTGTGCATCCACCTCAGACCATAGGTCTCGAGCGCCTCATCCTATAGTGGGTGGTTAACCCATCCCAAGGTTGAGCATCACCCTTACCTTTCAACCCCAAGTGGGTTCACATCACATCTCAAGAGACGAGTATAATCTCCCTACTCAAAAAATAGAACATCCCAAGGGGTGAACATCAACCACCAAAATAAATAAAAAGGGATAAAATCGCGCAGGCGAGACCCAAACACAGAAGAAGAAAGAAGAAGAAAAAAGAAGATGTAGAAAAAAGAAAACAAAAAAAATGGTCTGTCCGCGCGCGCGCAACCCAATAAGTAGAAGAGAAAAAGAGATGTGGCGCGCGCGATCCAAGAAAGAAATAAACAAAAAAAAAAAAAGAAAAAAAAAAAAAAAAGATAAAAAAGAAGTGAATGTGCGTGGACAGAGCACGCACACGACACGCGCCAATGCGCGGCCCATCGCTACGCGCGCGCGCTGGCTGAAATAAGAACGAAAAAAAGAAAAAAAAAAAAAAAAAAGCCACAAGCGGGTGGAGCACCGCGCGCCTCGGTTGCCGCGTCTCCCAAACCCGCACCTCCCAGCACCCACGCGCCGTCCGCGCGTCAGCCCCACATGGGCCGTCTTTTTCAGTATTGGGGGCGCGCGCGCTTCTTTAATTAAGAAATAAAAAAAAAAAAAAAAAAAGAAAAGAGACAAATGGAAGTAAAGAGAAGAGCAGCCCACGTGACTGATCCACCCACCCCCCTCTCTCATGCATCAATTATGCACGACACCCCATAAAGCCTTACAGCTCTTCCTCTCTCTCTCTAGAAGAAGTAAATGCGGCACGGCCCCCCATGAAGCTCTTCACAGCTTCTCTCTCCTGGTATTAAAAGCGCGCGTGTACCAATGCGCGCGCGCACGTTCTTCCTAGCGCGCTGCCTCCTACATTGGAGCGCGCAACTCTTGCTATTCTCTACTAAATTGCGTGTGGATTTCACTTCGCTACACCAAATCGCGCGAGAATTTCAACGTGCTCCACCAAATTGCGCGAGCTCTCCAGCGCCACCTCCTCAAATCGCGCACGTTCTCACATGGATAAATAAAAAAATATTATTTCTCCACGCCACGCCAACGATTAACGAAACACTACAGCACCGATCTACTCTCGACACAATCCGGTACCCTTTTCGACGTGGCTCCCACATCGTCTCGAGAGTGGGGGGCTGACGAGACAACTCCCATGAGGAGCAAAATCGCTCGGTCCTACAACCCACAGCGAGACAACTCCCACGAGGAGACAACTCGCTCGGTAATACCAGCCCGCAGCGAGACAACTCCCATAAGGAGCACACTCGCTCGTTCCTACAAACCCGTAGCGAGACAACTCCCACGAGGAGATAACTTGCTTAGTCATATAACCCGTTGCGAGGCAACTCCCACGAGGAGTCAACTCCCTCGGGTCCACGAACCCATAGCGAGATAACTCCTACGAGGATTCCACTCGCTCGGTACTACAACCGGCAGCAAGACAACTCCCACGAGGAGATAACTTGCTCAGTCATATAACCCGTTGCGAGGCAACTCCCACGAGGAGTCAACTCCCTCGGGTCCACGAACCCATAGCAAGATAACTCCTACGAGGAGACAACTCGCTCCATCCTACGACCCGCAGCGAGAAAACTCCCACGAGGAGCCAACTCGCTCAGTCCTACGAACCCACAGCGAGATAACTCCTACGAGGAGACCACTCGCTCCATCCTACGAACCCACAGCGAGATAACTCCTACGGGGAGACCACTCGCTCCATCCTAAGACCCGCAGCGAGGAAACTCCCACGAGGAGCCAACTCGCTCGGTCCTACGAACCCACAGCGAGATAACTCCTACGAGGAGACCACTCGCTCCATCCTATGACCCGCAGCGAGATTACTCCCACGAGGAGCCAACTCGCTCGGTACTACAACCTACAGCGAGATAACTCCCACGAGGAGACAACTCGCTCGGCACCCCAACCCGCAGCGGGACAACTCCCACGAGGAGACAACTCGCTCAGAGCAACCTCAATCCGCACGCTCCTAAATCGCGCATCATCTAATGCTCCTACAACTCACCGCGAGACAACTCCCATGAGGAGACAACTCGCCCGAAATTCACTATATAATCGCAAGCTCAAGTTAGCACGATTACAACCCTAGAAACACTTAGAGATATTATGAGAATCTATATAGCCTGGCCAGCTTGATTACTCAAATTTATCTACTTGTTTTCGATGGGTCCTTCATTAAAACGTGGCCACGGTCCAAACATACTTAAGACCCACGAGGTCTAACAAGGGGCACGACCCCCATAAAAAAAATCTTGAGAGTCTGATCCCCTCCTCAAGTACATCACGCACAAGGCTATATGTAAACACATATAAGCAACGCGTCAAAACATTGACAATGTCGAAAAATAACAACTCCCACGAGGAGATAACTCGATCAGCACTATTACCCCGCGACAAGACAACTCCCACGAGGAGATAATTCGCTACTACATCGTCGCGGGACAAAACCGACGACTCAATTAACTTACATCGCGACGACCTTGTCGCGCTATGCGCCAACGCGCATTCACGCCCCTCCGACACACGCTCCAACGCGTTTTCGCATACCATTTAGGCCATACGCCAATGATCGACTTCTACAATTTTTACTCTCGACACGATTTGAGACCCATCACAACATGGCCCCCACATCGACTCGAGAGTGGGGGGCTTAATGATATGCCTAATTGGGCCAACCCAATGGGCCTACAATTTCCTTACCTACTGGGCTACGAGCCCAATATCGAAGACTAATATCACCGAGGCCCAAACACCTTCAAGTAAGGTTTGGGCCCAACAAAGCAAACCCAACCCAATAAACGACATATAAATAGAGGTTTTACTCATTTTATTAAGGTACGTCCTATGAACTGAGCGATACTACAATACGTATTCTCTGGACTATTTCTATGATCAGCACGTCTGACTTGAGCGTCGGAGGGGTTTCCGCCGGATCAACCCCCGGCTTAGTTCATGTGTTCTATGATCGCAGGTACCTCAGGATCATCAAGTTGTCAAGCTACTGATCTGCTTTGCTCTCCCAGTTCATTTTCTACACTACCCCAGGTGATCTACATTTTAGCATCATCAGAGGAGCTGAGTGTCTTTTGGGCGGTAAAACTCGTCTTAAGAGTGTAGACAATATTTACAACAGCATAGCTGATATTCATAACAACTATCTGGTGTGTGGTGGAAATATGAAAGACAGGCTAATGAAACCTAAGCTACCTCATGGTTATATTACAAAAAACCCTATTCTTCGTATCACCGAAGAAGATTATCCTCGTACCGAGTGTTATCCATCGTTTGGTACTATAATTTTTGATTCCGTCAAATTTTCTAGAGAACAAGGAGAATATACGAAGGGATCGAAAATGTATAAGATAACTGATGATTTAACTGTAACGCCTCTTTGTATGACCGCAATCATTTCCGATCTCAAAGAGCTGAAAATCCCTCTATCTGACATCAAGGAACTGGAACTCGAGATTCGGTCCGATGAGGTAATATAATTTAACTTCTATATATCATATGTTTGTTACCGTGTTATGATATTCTTTTTTTTTTTTTCTTTTTTTGTGTGTAGGCTTTACGCATACTGAGGGCATCTCTTACATCAACTTCTGCTTTAAGTGATGCCCTGATCAACGGTTCCATGTTAAACAAACAATGTATGTAAGAAGTATGGTGCCATGGTCAACAGTTATATTGGTCATGCTATATTGCTTTAGCGGGCTTGTATCTTTTGTACTTCCGTGTATCGTTGTTAAAAGACGTGCATTCGTAATTGAAATTCTAATGTGCTGAACTTTATTTGAGTATTGCTATGTTCTACTTATATTACAATTTGGTCAAATTGCATGTCAGTTATCACCCTCTAAAATTTCTAATTTTTGCACTTTACCTATCCTCTCAAAATTTAAAAAAGTGAATGTCCCCTTCAAAATGTTATTCTTGTTGCACATTTTCCTGTATAAAAATTTTGATGGATTATTCATCGTAATTGAGTATTCTTGTTGCACGTAGCCCCTTTATATGTTATTTTTGTTGCACGTTACCTCTTAAAAATATAATTTTTTCACATTGCCCCTTTAAAATGTTATTTTTGTTGCACAATGCCCACCAAAAAATTGGTTCGAGCAAAGTGCAACCAAAATAATATTTTGAAGAGGGATTATCCAGTTTTTGAATTTTTAGGGAGAAAAGTGCGAAAATGAGAAATTTGTAGGGTGAAGTGCAATTTGTCCTTAAAATTTTCTATTTTCTCCTTTCTAGTTAAGCTGCTCTGTTTATTTCAATGAGCACATATATTCATGATTTGCCTTTTCACAACCACCTAAGGAAAGACAGGGTAGAAAGGAGAAAATAGATCATGGTATAATTGCTTCAGCCAAAAGTCTTGCTTAGGGTTACTTTCTTCTTCTTTTTTCATGAATTTTAATCCTTTTCTGCACTCCATGTGGCTCATTAAAATTAGGGTGATTCTATCTTTGTGTGATTGTATGTGTAGCTCAACTGGTTTTGGAGGTGGTAAGTTGGTGCAAGGTCTTAGAATCGAATTCTGGCAGCCGCAGTGTGGGAATTTCAAATCCAATGAGGGTTGGTTCCTTGTGGGCACCAGGTCCGGGTCCGCTACCTTAACGGGCCGTTGAGTTACCATGATTTACATTCCTCCATCAATTTTTGCCAGGCCAGGGGATGGGGGCCCTGGGGCGAGGGATTTCGTCTTTTGGTGCAGGGATGGCAGCAGAGCGGATACCCTAAAAAAAGTGTAATACCAAAACCATTACTATTTAATATAGGTCAAACCAAAACCATACCAAAATCATTTAAAAAATTTATCGACAAGAACCATTACCACCAATATCCGGATAACCACGGATATTCATTTACCATTTAAATTATGTTAATAAAAAATAACTTCGGATCCAATAATGTTTAAGTAACTCTTTGAAAAAAGGAAGGAAAAAAAAAAGAAAAAAAAATTAAATTATACAAATATATCCTTGTCAATCGATACCACTC